ACTCACTTGGTAGCCCAGGCTGGCCTCGAACTCACAGAGATCCGCCTGCCTCTGCCTCCCTAGTGCTGGGATTAAAGGCGTGCGCTGCCACCGCCCAGCCAGATCCACTTTTTAAAATGAGAATCTGCTCTCTTTGTGTTCTGCACATAAGCTCAGTGCATTGGAGGAATTTGGAGTACAGCAGGGACATCATCTTCAGTTACCCAGATTTGCTCAGGGGGGCTGGGTGGAACAGTAAACCCTGATAGACTAAGCAGGGCACAGTAATTCTGTCTCCTTTGCTTGGAGCTCGGGCATATGACTGAATTCACCAATGGCAGGTGAAGGGAAGCCTGATTTTAGCGGGAGAGGGGAATTTGGTGCCTCTTCGTTTGTGAACACAGCTGTGTAAGGATGTGATGATTGGCATTGCCACCGCCGTCTTGTAGCCGTGCAGAGACAAGAGGGAAAAGACTGTTAGCCTATTGCACACTATTGGCAGAGAAGAGAGGTTGATGTCGGACCTCGCCAACTCTACATGCAGGTTATGGAGCAGTCACTTAATCCATGGGGACTCTTGATTCCCTTCAACCAAAAGCATTCCTAAGAGATATAGAGCATTGGTTAATAATTGGTTAAATTGTTAAAACATAGAGTTTAAACCCAGAGAAGTTTAAAGGACTGGGTTCGAAAGACAAGGGTTTGAACAAAGGCACTGAGCAGACACCAGCATCAGCTGAGAATGAGGGGAGCATGTAGCCAGCCACTTCTGCTCCCAGCCCTGTAGATCAGGCCTCTAGAGACATACTCAGCACTCTCTGGAGCAATCCATGTTGTATCCAGCAACCCAGGATGTTCCCCAAAGCAACACCCTTGGCTTCCTTTGTCTCTTTCCTAGACTTGTAGGATTTACTGAGAATTAGCAGCTGTAAGATGTTTGTCTCTCCCTTGAGGTACAGCTGTTCAAAGGGACCCAGTGACAGGTTGGGTGTGGTGGCACATACCTCTAACCCCAGTACTCAGGAGACAGAGGCAGGAAACCCTGTCACAAAACTAAACCAAACCAAATCAAAAACAATCAAAGGGACCTAATTATAAGATACCTGTGGTTTTATATCAAAGACAAGTAGGGATGATCTTAACAAAAGTTCAACCTCAGGCCTTGTTGGGCACCATCCCTGCCTCTCTGTCTAGGTAGCTCCTCTTGGTGACTAGAGGCTGGATTCCGGGTTGAGTTAGAGCTAGGGTTGGTTAGGGTTAGGGTTAGGGTTAGGGTTAAGGTTAGGGTTAGGATTATCATTAGGGTTAGGGTTAGGATTATCATTAGGGTTAGGGTTAAGGTTAGTGTTGCCTTCAGTTCAAGACTATTCAGCAAATACTTCAGGCTTGGGTCTCTGAAGAGGCTGATGATAAAGACTTGGCCCAAGTTGGCTGGTTAGTGTCTGGCTGGACTATCTCATTGAGGAGGGCCCCAAATGACTCATCCTTTATGGAGTTAAGAAGAACTTGTCCATTTTGCTTAGAGAGTCCTTGTGAGAATGTGATATAAGGTAACTGTTGTTTCCTTCTCTCAGAATTGGCGGATTTGTGGGTCAATCTCTCTGTCTCACCACCTTCCTGTAAATGTTGGGAAAATCAAGTGTACTCGATGGTACCCAGGCTCTGTAGCTCTTAAGTCAGAGTGTGTGTCCCGAGGATCTGACACCAATGAAACCAAACTGATGCCTTTTGTCAAGAGGACCAATACTGCTTCTATCAAAACTTAATTTTGATTTGCAACTTCAGGACACAGAGTGTGTAAACACTTCACCAGAACTACACCAGAACCTCTTCTCTGAAAGAAGACCTCCCCCCAAACACACCCTCATACTCCCTGTTCACCAGCAAGGCCATGATCAATAACCCAAGACGCCTACCCCTACTATGCCCCCTTCTGGAGAAGGATGTAGAGCTTTCTGGCACTGAGGCAGTGAGATGGGACCTTCTGCAGAGCCCAGCCCCATTCCCATAAACAGAATTGCAGCTAGCCTGTGGATCTGCCCACATTTAAAAATCTATTTAAAATCGAGATCCTTTTTTTACAGGAAGTCGAGACTGCCAACAAACTGGGTCTGCATTCTCACTGAGGCTATAGGGAAGTGGGGAGCCTGCCCCCCAGTGGTAGAAGTGGTTTAAGTCCCCTGACCACGGAGCCCTCAGTCTGAGCTTTGGTCAAACCCGGCACACTGCAGTACTTCTCATACTCATCCAGACCAATTGGGCTAGAAGAACACCCTCACATACCCCTACATCTCTTCCCCGGGCCTGGTGATGCAGGCTGGAGGGTGGGGTACTGGAAGGTGCTGAAGCGGAAGCCGCTAAGGGGTTCTGCTTTTGCTGTGGAGAGTGTCTTCCAAAGGTGAGTCCCGTCCCTGGAGACGGAAGCCCCTTCCTTAGATGGATGCCCATACTTCCAGCACCAGATCAGCGTACAACCCAGGGGGAGTCTGACCAGGAGTGACTTCACAACTCTTTAGGCTGTGGGTATAGGAGGGGGAAAATGGGCATCATGTCCATCATGTCTTGATGAAGTCTCCCTAGCAGTCCTCATGGATTGTCCACAGGAGCAAGAGCTATAGTCCAGGCCCACCCTGGCCATCCCTGGGTCTCCCCCACATTCCTGAATCATTCCAAGACACTTCTAGGACACTGAATACACATTGTCTAAACCCTCCCCACAAGCCCATAGAGCTAGGAGTGAAGAGGTGGGTGGTAAGCAGATGCCCGGGCTCGGAGTCTACACCTACCCATTGGGCTGCTTCCTACATGATTTGGGGACCTGTTTTTGGCTGGTGTCCAGTGAGACAGTCTAGTGTGTATGTCTCTAGAAGGGTCTCATGTTGCAGGGAGACCCTGTTAGCTCGCTAGCTTCTCTTGTGGACCTTGTCTGAGAAGTCACAGGACACATAACCAGGGTTCAAGGTCACAAGCGAACATAGGGCTTTTCCTGTGGGAGGGTTCCCCTCCTCCTAATTCCCTAGGGAGCACTGGGAGGCCTCCTTAGCAGATGCCAGCGATGGGCAGTGTGCTGTGTGGTGGGTGGGATGTTAGAGAGGAGCTGAGAGCATGTTTGCCGTCTGTGTGTTCAGGAACATCTGTCCCAAGTACAGCAGCCATGCGAGGCCAGTGCTCATAGAGAGCCGTGGGAAAGAATTTCATGACGACGGAGTCAGTTTGGGTGGTGAGGGGAGGCAGGTATCAGGGTGGGCGGAGAGGGCGCTGCTGAGAGTCCCTAGAAAGTGGGGGGGTTGCAGAGAGGGGAGGAGGGAGTGACCCCAACGTCTGTGAGAAGCCTAGAGACTCCTGGCTGCAGAGTCGGGGCTTTGGGGGACAGGGTGGGAATGGGGGCATTAGGCTGTCTCCACACTCAGGGTACAGTGACGGTAAGCACAGGACGGAGAGGTGGCAAGGTCTAGAGAACATATACATCTGCTGACAGCTTGAGGCACAGGGGTTTTAGGTAGAGACACATCGGAGGATCACATGGGCTAGCCTGAGCCCCTGGAGCAGGGCTTCATTGGGATTGAGCACTCTGGGAAGCTGAGCCAAGCATGCCACCCACCTGCCTGCACACATTTGTCTCAAGTGTTTATGGCTGGCCGTGTGAGGACAGAGTTCAGGGAAACAGTGGAGATACACACTTGA